AGAAGGAAACACTAATAGCAAGACTTATAAAAGAAGATAAGCGCCTCTCCGAGACTGATGAGAGTATCACATCTCTTGCTCTTCAAATTCAAGCTTTTAATTTGAAGAATCAAAAGCAGAATATTACCAAAAATAGCAACAATTCTTTCTCCAATAAGAAAGAAATTAGGAAAAAGAAGATTGAAAATCTAAAGAAAAGGACGAAGTGCGCGTATTGTAAAGAAATAGGTCACTGGGTAAAAGAATGTCCAAAGAGGCCAAATAGTGAGAAATGCGGACAGTCAAAGCAGAGTGAAAATACTACAGAAGATTCCTCTTATTTTAGTGACGTTAGTGCGTGTTTCTCGGACTCAACAAATGTTGATAAAGACGTATGGCTCGCGGATTCAGGTGCTAGCATGCACATGACGTATAGAAAGGATTTTTTTACCGCACTTGAACCGCTTCAAGAAGATCACTTTGTTAGAATTGCTGACGATAAAGTATTGCCTGCAATTGGAATAGGAACAGTGATAATTTGTGAAACTGTTAATAGTGTCTTTTTTGAAAGAAAAATGGAAAATGTCCTTTATGTGCCTAATTTGAAGCGAAACTTGTTTTCAATTGGAACTGTGAATGATAAAAAATTTTCATATCATTCATATGGAGATAGATGTGAAATAAAAGACCAAAGTGGAAAAGTGACATCACGTGGTGTACGGTACGGTAAATTATTTAGAATGCTTTTTAAAATTAAAATGCCGGAAGAGTGTAATGTCGCAAAAGTCGGGACGAATGCTCACAAAAATTCCGTAAAATTGTGGCATGAACGTTTTGGACACATAAATATTCGTGCGTTGAAAAATACAAGCAAAGTGCAAGATGATAAAAATTTTGTGATTCAACAAGAAACTTTATTTTGTGAACCGTGTGTTTTAGGAAAACAAACACGGAAACATCATGCATCGACAAAGCATGAAAGTATTTTCAAACCAGGAGAGAAAATACATAGTGATGTGTGCGGTCCGATAAATGTTGAATCACCACGGGGGTCCAAATATTTTATCATTTTCAAAGATGATTGTACAAAATATCGAAAAGTTTACTTTTTGAGACATAAATCTGAAGCATTCGCGAAGTTTAAGGAATTCGAAAATTTGGTGAAAAATCAGACAGGAAATAATTTAAAAGTCCTACGCACTGATAATGGGAGAGAATACATGTCTGACGTATTTGTACAGTATACAAAAGATAAAGGAATAATCCATGAATTTTCATCACCTTATATACACGAGCAAAACGGAAAAGCCGAGCGAGAAATTCGAACAATTGTTGAAAGTGCGCGATCAATGTTATTGTGTAAAAGTATTAATCGAGAATTGTGGAGTGAAGCTGTCAACACTGCGTGTTACTTACTAAATCGAGCAATTTTACAAGATGGAGAAACTAAAACACCTTTCGAAAAATGGTTTAACAGAAAACCAGAAGTAAAACATTTGCGCGTTTTCGGTTCAGTAGCTTATGTTAATATCCCTAAAGAAAAACGAAAAAAGTTCGATCCGAAGAGCAAGAGAACAATTTTCGTAGGATACGATAACGAATCATCGAACTACCGAATGTGGGATGAAGAATCAAGAAAAATCTACGTAAGTAATGATGTGGATATTAATGAAGAAGAAACTGTTATACAGAAAAATGTATCTGATAACAGTTTTCGGCCAGAAATAAATTTTGACGAAAATAATGACGAGGATCTTCAAGTTCCTGAACAAGAAATACCTCAACAAATTTCAGAACAAGTTGCTGTTCAAGAGAGAAATTTACGCGATAGAAGTAAAATCAGAAATCCCGATCGTTATGGAGTCCCTGTAGCGTACATAGTGGATAATGTAAAGGATGAAATGCAAGCTCTTGACGAAAATGAAACATGGAGCTTATCAACATTGCCATCAGGAAAACGAGCAATTGGTTGTAAGTGGATTTTTACAATCAAAACTGATCCTAGTGGAAACAATAGCAGGTATAAAGCAAGATTAGTAGCAAAGGGTTTCACTCAGCGTCCAGGAGTGGATTTTTTTGAGACATTTGCACCTGTTGTCCGCTATGAATCGATAAGGATTTTGTTATCACTGGCAGCAAAAGAAGATTACGAAATTGCAAAGTTTGATGTAAAAACTGCATTCCTGTATGGACAACTCGAAGAAGAAATCTACATGCAACTTCCGGAAGGATACATCACTGAAGACAACAAACACTTAGTGTGTAAACTGCATAAGAGCCTTTATGGACTGAAACAATCCCCAAGATGCTGGAATAGAAAATTTGTTGAATTTTTACAAAGTTTCAGTTTTCAAGCCATAGAAAGTGATCAGTGTGTGTTCGTGGGTAATGTGAATAATTTCTCCGTGTATCTTACACTTTATGTTGATGATGGCCTGTTAATTTGCGAAAGTCATGAGGCTATAATCAAAGTGCTAAATTATTTAAAATGCAATTTTACTATAACAATGGGAAGTGCAAGTGATTTTGTAGGCATGGACATTCAGCGCGATCGTGCAAAGAAAACTTTAAAAATTAGTCAATCAGCGTATATTGAAAAATTGTTAGTGAAGTTTGGAATGATTGAAGCAAAATCATCGAATGTTCCTGCGGAACCTGGTTTGTACTTGTGTAAAAGTGAGAAAAATGAAATGAATGATTCTTTCCCTTATCGCGAAGCTGTAGGGTCGCTTTTGTTCTCAGCTAGAGTTTGTCGTCCAGACATAGAGTACGCGGTCAACTACGCGAGTCAATTTTTAGATTCCTTTAATCATGAGCATTGGCAAGCAGTAAAGAAAATATTCAGATATTTAATAAATACTCGCGATTTTGGAATTATTTATGGAAATAGTGGGAGCTTAAATAATTTAACAGGTTACACTGATGCTGATTATGCTGGGTGCTTAGTGACGAGAAAATCAAGAAGCGGATTTGTTTTTATGCTAAATAATGGTCCAATTTCTTGGTCAAGTCAGCGACAAAATGTTGTTTCTTTGTCAACAGCAGAAGCAGAATATATTGCCTTGGCACATGGTACAAAAGAGGCTGTTTGGTTGAAACGAATTTTTAATGATTTAAAGATTAATTGTAAATGTGTTCCTATTCACGTCGATAACCAATCAGCTATCAAGCTAGCTAATAATTCAGAATTTCATAAACGCTCTAAGCATATTGATGTGAGATTTCATTTTATTAGAGATATTCTCAATCGCAATGAAATTGAAATAATTTATATTCCGTCAGAAAATCAGTTAGCCGACATTTTTACAAAACCCTTGTCAAAACAACAGTTTTGTATTTTGCGTGAGAAACTCAACATAGCAAACACTTCAAATTAAGTGGGAGTGTTGAATATTTTAGTTCTTTAGTAATAAAGTAATTTGAAATGTTTCTAGTTGTAAAGTGAGGAAAAACAAATTGTAAAAGAGAAACTTTTTGCCCAAAACGTGCCTGTCTGCTGCCACGTAGGATAATCTTTTTATTGCGGGTAAACTGTAAATTCAGGTAAACCGAACCCCCCCCCTTTAAGTGTATGGATTGTGTTTATGCTAAGGGTAATGACGAGTTTATTTTGAGTTAGTTGTCTACGAACTGTTAAGAAGAACACTGCGTGTTCCTTTGACTACATTTGTAACCATTTTGCCTAAATACAAAATAAATACTTTTATTAACAAATAAATGTCTTTGAAATTAATTAAACATTCAACAACTTTATATTCATTTATATGAGATTATTATTTATTACTCCTTCCAATACATTACAAATTGGCGACGAGGATAATTTGGACTTTTTTTTTTATTGTGCACAAACTTTTATATCTCTATGAAATGATTTTATTGTAAAAACGTGGTGTGCTTTTCGTTTCGCGTTTGACTCTAAAAAGTGTGACTAACATGAATGAGGAGGATTATAGAAAGAAATTGCAGGAAGCAACTGCAAGACAAAATGATTTGCAAAGTACAATTGACAGATTGAGAACGGAAAGAAACTCCAGCAGATCGCGAGTTAATGAGTTGGAATCTGAAATTCGGCAAACAGGTGCCGCAAACCAAAATGGCGGCGCATTAGGATCGACTACGTCACAAAACGCGGGAAATTTACCGCCAAATCCATCGATGACGCTTCCAAATGTTACTTTTGTTTCCACAATTGGCGCTATGAGCGAGTTTCAAATTGGGGAAGACTGGAATATTTACCAAGATCGCCTGAACCAATACTTCATAGCAAACAATGTTGTACAACCGGAACGAAGGGTGGCTGTTTTAATTACATTGATTGGTTAAGATGCTTACAAATCACTTAAGGATTTATGTGATCCAGAATTACCTTCGAGGAAGAATTACGAGGAGTTGTGCGTGATTTTGAAAAGTCAATTTTCAAAACGTGTTTCAGTGCTTCGAGAAAGAACTGAATTTCACGAGTTGAAACAAAGTGACCAAGAATCAGTGAATCAATGGTTCATACGGATTAAAAATAAAGCCGCGTCGTGCGAGTTCGGTGCGCAATTGGAAAGTATCATTAAAGATAAGTTTGTGACAGGTCTAAAAAAAGGGTTAGTTTTGGATCGTGTTTGTAAAGAGGATCACTCCAACTCATTGACTGACATTTTAGAAATCGCGAGAAACAAAGATGCTGCAGTTGTTAATTTGAGAACGGAAAATCATGTTTTTAATGTTAATTCTAATGAGAATAAAAATTTTCCGAGGAAAGACTCAAACAAAAATAAAGATAAAAAACCGGCTAATGAAAGTTACGTCAATAAGAAAAGTGACAATGCGTGTAAACATTGTGGATTTACGAATCATGACTCACAAAAATGTAAATATAAAAACTTTAAGTGTAAGAAGTGTAAAAAACGGGACATCTTGCGAAAATATGTAAATCGGGGGTTGATCAAAACTTTTTAGAGGAAGAGTACGAGTTGAATTCAGCATTAGATTGTGAAAATTTGTACTTTGTCGAATGGGGTTTTAAACCGACAATGGTTGAAGCGGTTATCGGTAATGAACATATTCAAGCAGAAATTGATTCCGGTGCCGGTCGATCGGTTATTCCTGAGTCAGTGTATAGTGAACGACTTTCTGAGTACAAACTGAGTGCTGTTAAAACTACGTTAAGATTGTATGATGGTACAATTATTCAACCTTTGGGACAGATTAATGTCGATTTGACAGTTGGTGGTAAAAGTGTGCCAGCCTCCCTTCTTGTTGTCAAACATGGATGTAGGATGCTTATCGGCAGAGATCTGATGACCTTGTTAGGATTTCGATTGACCCAGATTAATTCGCTCGAACCAGATGAAGAATTACGTAAGTTGTTACAAGAGTTCGAATCACTTTTTGATGGTAAGCCAGGTTGTTATAAATATGAAAAAATTGATATGAGGATTATTGAAAATGCTAATCCTATTTTTTGCAAGCCTAGACCGGTACCGTTCGCTTTTAAAGGGGAAATGGATGGACAATTGGATAAATTAGTTAAAGATGAAATTATTTCTCCTATAGCTGACAATGAATGGGGAACGCCCTTGGTACCAGTACTTAAGAAGGATGGAGGTCTTCGCGTTTGTGCAGATTATAAAGTAACCGTCAACAAAGTTCTGGAGGATGTTTGCTTGCTTGCTTCCTTATCAGGTAGAAAAAAGTTTTCAAAATTGGATTTGGCAAGTGCATTCAATCAACTCCAGGTTACAGAAAAGACTTCCAAGATTCTTGCTTGGAGTACTCATAGAGGCATCTTCAAGGTCAACCGAGTTCCATTTGGTCCGAAAACTGCTGTGGCAATTTTTCAAAAAATCATCGAGAAAACGTTACAAGGTGTTCCCAATGTTGTGATTTTTTTGGATGATGTTGTTGTCACCGAGCGAGATTAAATATTTGGGACATGTGATTGACAGCCAAGGACTTCACAAGGATCCAGATAAGATTGCTGCCATCACAGATGTCAAGTCACCGAAGAATGCCACTGAAATCAAATCTTTTCTCGGAATGGTAAATTATTATGGAAAATTTGTTCCTCACATCAGTCAACTTTTGAAACCACTTTACGAGGCTGCTCGTAGGGAAGAATTTTCATGGACATCTAAAGAAGAGGAAGTCTTCCAGCAAGTCAAGGCCGAAATTACTTCGGAACGCTGTTTGGTCCATTTCAATCCCGATTTGCCAATTAAATTGGTATGTGATGCTTCAAAGGATGGCGTTGGTGCAGTTTTGTTTCATGTTTTTCCGAATGGTCTGGAAAAACCAATCACATTCGCCTCAAGAGTTTTAAGAAACTCCGAGAAGAACTACTCTGTTATACACAAGGAGGCTTTGGCGATTCATTGGGGAGTTACCAAATTTTACCAGTATTTGGTTGGTAGGAAATTTTTTCTTTGTTCCGATCATAAACCTTTACTTGCTTTGTTTAGTGAAAATAAAGGAATTCCACAAATGGCAGCAGGTAAGCTTCAACGATGGGCACTGTTTTTATCGAGTTTTGATTATCAATTTCAATACTTGAAGGGCAAAGATAATGGAGCGGCTGATGGTCTCTCAAGGTTGCCGAGACAAGTCACATCCCCAATTGACGAATCTGAGGATTATTTTAATTTTCTGGTTGAAGAGAAGTTACCTGTCAGTGCCAAGGAAGTTCGAATCCATTTACGAAGAGATCCTGTTCTTAGCAAGATACTTACCTATGTTCGAGATGGATGGCCGAATGATGTGGAATCGGAACTCAAGGCTTTTTCTACGAGAGCTCATGAATTGGCTATCGATAACGATCTTTTGATGTGGGGGTACCGTCTGATTATTCCTTCAAGTCTCAGACCGCGACTATTGAAAGAGATTCATTCCGGACACATTGGTATCGTTAAGATGAAGTCTCTTGCACGTCAATATTTTTGGTGGCCGAAGTTAGACGCTGAAATTGAGGATTTTGGAAAAAGATGTCGTTCGTGCCAATCATTATCGAGGAGTCCCGAGAAAGCGGAATTGATTAAGTTCAGAGAAGCTGAATTTCCATTTGACAGAGTACACATTGATTTTTTAGGACCGTTTCATAGTAAAATTTTTTTATTATTAATCGATGCATATTCCAGGTGGCCTGAAGTCATTGAGATGAAACACACAGATTCGGAAGCAACTATTGAAGTTCTGCGAGAGATTTTTGCTAGATTTGGAATTCCCAACGTGATGATTTCTGACAACGGACGACAACTTGTTTCGGAAGAGTTTGAGAAGTTTTGTAAATTAAATGGAATATTGCATAAAACTTCAGCACCTTATCATCCGGTTACTAATGGACTTGCTGAGAACGCTGTGGGAAGTTTTAAACTGGGAATAAGCAAAGCTTTGCATAATCAAGAAGTTTCTTCGAGGAATTTGAAGGTATCTGTTTCTCGTTATTTATTTGCTTACAGAAACACCCCACATTGTACAACAGGTGAATCTCCAGCGAAGCGATTTTTTGGACGAGAATTGAGGAATCGATTAGATTTATTGAGATCAAAGAGAACCGACTTGGCTAACGAGAATCAAATAAAATTTTTCAAAGGACACAGAGACATTTCTTTTTCCAAAGGCGAAAATGTTTTTGTTAGAAATTACAAAAATCCCATGAAACCTTCCTGGTCCTCAGCTCAAATCAAGGAAGTTTTAGGAGATAGAACTTATTTGTGCAATCCAGAAAATTCCGATTCATCTATTGTTTGGTAGAGACACACCGATCAAATGATGAAGAATTCAAGCGATAACCCCGAGAATCAATTACGTGAATCGCCGAGGAAGAAACAGGATTATTTCCCATCGAGTGAAAGCCATTCGGAAGCATTGGATAATTCGAAATTGGAATTGGGAGAGAAGAATTTACGTGTACAGAACGCGAGTGATAGTGTTTTTCATTCCCCAAAAAATGTTTCTAAAAGAAATTTGAGGAAAAGTTTTGTATCTGACATTAAAGGTGATAAAATTATTGATACTCAAATTAAAGTTAAAACCGATTTTAATATTGATCAGAGACCTAAAAGAACAATTAAACCAGTTGAACGTTTGAATTTGTGATAAATAAAAAGACTTGGTATGGAGGAATGTAGTGTAGTACATTTATAACTCGCCAGATGGCGCATAAGTATTTCAGGGTCAGTCTTGATTTTTACGTATACACGGTTAGTTCCGTCTCAGGCTTTGTACTATTTACATGTAAAGTCATCTATGATTATTAATTATACTTTATATTCATTTATATGAGATTATTATTTATTACTCCTTCCAATACATTACACTTTCCAAAGATTCATAGTTGAAAAATCATTTATGTAACTATTTAAGTAGAAAATGATGAAAAACCTAATCGCATAACTGCACTTTTGGCAATAGGCGATAGGCATAAGCGCATAACTGCATTCAGAATAAAAAAACAATTGACGTAATCTACAAAATTAAAGTAATATTTTAAAATAAAAATATTATTTATTTATTTATTATTTATTTTTATCTTATAATAAGGAATTTCAGAAAAAATAAATTTTTTTATTAGTTTGACTAATTTTTCGATTTTCTCTTTTCATTAATTCTTTTGAATCACAGGTATCTTCATTCTTCTCGATATCTTCACAAAAAATATTAAATTTGAGAAATTACGGAAATGTAAACATAAAACCTAACCTATTTTTAAAAAATATTCGTTTCATTTTTTTCATAGATACAATAAACATAAATAATAATTTTATTCTTTTGCCTTGATTATAATCATCTCCTTCAGATATATTTGTTTCAGACTCAGATTCGTACGTCACTATTAAATTCATTTTGACAATTTACTATGACATGAAAAATAGAGTGAAGTTGGTTACATATTTAAACTTGAACAGCATAAACACATAACTGCAAAAAAACTTTCAATTTGACTAAGAATATATTAAATTTCATATGAATTCGTGCGTTTTATTAAATGTGATAAACGTATTTTAAAAATACATTAAATAATGAGACTAAATGCCCAATACCAAACACATCCGTTGATTTTCTGATTTGACAGAGCTAAATGAATATTAAAACTCATTTTTCTCAAAATCGTGACAAATGCAGTTGTGCTGTTATGCTTTTCAACCACAGACTTAATCTTCCAAAGGGATTAAGTAACTGTCATATATTGCAGACCCACATTTACATGATATAATAAGAATTTAGATCATGTTATTATTTTGTAACTTATTTCCGATAAACGATTCATTGTTGAATAAATTATAAGAAAAGACTTTTGACATGATTAAAAATAAGTTTGAAACAATGATTAAAACTATTCACAATAAGAATAATAATATGTGTTGTGTTTTATATTAAGATATTCAAAAATTAATTATGAATAAATAATGATTAAAAAATTATAAATTGACGGAAAATCCGTCTCTAACACGCCATCTAGAAAATTTATTTCATAAGAAATAAATTTTCTTCATAACACGAACTACACTTCAAAAAAAATATTCACCCAAAATAATCATTTACAGTTGAAAATCCTAAGTTTCTTTACAGAGAATACGCTTTAACGTTTAAAGCGTTTTTGAGCATGCAAAGAATTTTCGGCTGCGCGAGAGGACAATGAAAATTGTGCCTGTCCCCTTATACCATTTAGTACCTTTATGATTAAATATATTGCATTGAGAAATTAATACTAATAGTTTTTTTCTTTAATTAAAAATATAATAAATAAATTTATCAATTACATTAAATCAAGAACAAGAAAAACAAATAATTTAACTTTATTAAAAGAATAAAATCCATGTTTAAAGTTAGGAAAGATAATAAGCCAATGAAAAAACAGGACGCCATTTTTTAAAGCAATAAGATACGCGATACTTTCCATCTTTTATTCTTTCTCTCTTGTCAGCAAATATCATTAAATTAAAATATTATTTAATCTTCATATTTTTTAAATAAAAATATTAATAACAAAAAAAATAAATTTTTTTTATTACGTCAATAATCAAGTAACAAACAATTTAACGATGATAAGAGAATAAAATGCATATATTTAAAGTAAGGAGAGATAAACAGCTAATAAGAAAACAGGACGCCCTTCTTCATTATTATTAATTATTATTAACCAATAAGATATAAGTTACTTTTTATCTGTTCCTCCTTCGCTCCTTTTTTTATCGCCAAAAAGATAGTGGAAATGCGGACCGAATGAAAGAATACGGAGATTATTATAGTTAATAATAATTTTCCATTCTTAGTTATACTTAACATTCTTTTTTTGACGCAGAATTAGATGATCTTCAAAATAAAAAAATAATTGACGATTTATCTTCATTTCTTCAAATGTTATTAATTATTTAAATAATTTCCATAATTAATTATTAATTTAACACCCGTTTATCAAAAATAGTTCATATAGACCTCGTTGGATGCGGATTTCGATAAGCATAGGAATGGTATTTTTAAAATTATTCGAATTTTATTTGTTCGTAAAATATTTCATTTTTTATTAACTTTTGTTAGTTAATTAATTAATATATCGAAAACAAAAAATAATGCTATCTCAAAAATTTAACCATCGATTTATTATGACTTAAACAATATTCATGATTTTTATCGCGCTTCAAAATAAGGGAGAACATGTTTAAAAGTTATAAACAAATTTTATTTTTTAAACAAAATGTTAAAAAATTATTTTTTTCTAAAAAATTATTTTTTTCTAAAAGTTTCAGGTTTTTTGCGTGAAAAACATTCTCAACATTTCTTCCTATTTTTAGTAGGGAAAAAGTTATGAGTAAAGCAAATAAATATTGCTGTAATTTGTTATTGTAAATATCTCAAAAAACATTAAAAATTTCAAATTCAAAATTTGTACACTTATTTAGCACCACTATCACTACAATTTACCGAATCAATTACAATTTACCTTTTGAATTATTTAAACAATTAAAATTGTTTTTTTAATAAAAATAAAAATTATTTAATTTTTTTTTCAAAATTTTTTCATGAATTTAAAAAAAATTCATCCCGATTGGTAAAAAAATTACGGAAGTTATAATAAATAAAAAAAAAAATTACAAAAAATTTAAATGTGCAATATTTTGAAAAATATTTTGAATTTTTAAAAAATACTTAGAATTTCTTTTTTTGACCCTTAAAGGAACCCAAATTATCAATATTATAAAAATTTATCAAAATAGCCTAAATCGGTGCGATCACTTGACGTGGAGTCGCTCATAGATTAAACATACAAATTAGAAAAAAATCATATTTTAATTTTTTGAAACTTTTTTTTGGCGATAGTAGTATAGCTACTGCCCCAGGCTCTAATCTCGGATATGTTACCTACAGTCGGTAAGGTAGATTTCTACTTTATGAACGATTCAAGGTAGGAAACTGTTTTACCGACCGATTTAGTTCACCGGACACTTAACAGATTGCGCCACTAGTAAATAGCCCAATTGGGCTATATGAATTTTTTAATTTTGGTGGCAAAATACTTATTGCTAACAGAGTGCTTTAATTTACCGACCGAGTTAGTTCACCGGCCACCCAATAGATGGCGTCATTAAAAAAAGAATTTTGTATTAGTTTTTTAAATTTATTATTAATTATTACATACACTATAATTTAAAATTAATTATTATTATATTTATTGTTATTTAATATTTAATTATTTGTTCAATAATAAACGTAGGTGGATTTAATTAATTATTAACTTTTTTTTATAACTATAATAATAGTTTATTTGTTTAGAATCACAGATTCATACAAAAGAGTTACATTGAGCATTTATGAGATTTATGACGAAGAAATACATTGCTTTAACATTTTCTATTTGAGGAAAGTTCAATAAATCTAACCAAGTGTCCTTTATTATCGTGCGATCTTCGCTTGTACATATATATTTCTTTCTAAGGTCGTTGTGTAAGTTACATCCAATCAGGACATGATATAATTCTTTTCCTTTCAACTCGTCGTCTCCGCAGCAATACTCACTATTAAATTTATATATCTCTTTTTTGTGAATGATTCTTAGATTATAATTATTTGTTAACCGAATTTGTGCAATGATTTTCATAAACGTTAATGGAACTTTCAGTTTTAAATAATTCTGTACTCCTTCACATAAAGTTAATTCAGGGAGCAGCTGCAGAGACCGCGAGTTTGTCAGAGAATTAACATCTTCCGCTCGAAGAAAAGCCTCATATGTTTTACTAATCTAAGTTTATAAGTTTTTATATATTGCGGGTCCCAAGTAACTGTTTCGCCAATAAATTCAAAGAATTTTTCGACCTGTTTACACCAGTTATATTTAAGCGGCACATTTGCAGATTTTACTAAAAAAATCAATCTTAACAAACATATTTTTGGCACTCTATCGTCGTTCATTTTAAAAATTTTTTCTATAAAATTGAGGGTTAGTTTGAATACTCTGCTAGACAATTTAACCGCACCAACCTCTAGTCTCATCGCATAATTTGGCGTATTTTTTGGGGATAAGAGTAGTCTTTTAAAAAAATTTGTTTGGACTTTTTCAATCTCTTCTAGAGATCTCAAACCCCAGACCTGAATTGCGTAAAAAAGTGTACTGATAACCAAACTATTAAACAATTTAGGGATCGGACGCCATGTATTTAAATCCATTCTATTAATAAGTGAAAGTGTCGATTCGGTAGCCATTCTCGAGGAAGTGACCGCATTTTTTAAGGCTTCTTCGGGTGAACCAGTTTGAG